TTTTTTTTTTTTTGGTCCAGTCGTGGGCCTGAACTCTGGGCCTGGGCACTGTCCCTCAGCAATTCAGCTCAAGGCTAGCACTCTACCACTTGAGCCACAGTGCCACTTCTGGCTTTTTTTTTTTTCTGCTTATGTGGTGCTGAGGAATCGAACCTAGGGCCTCATTCACGCAAGGCAAGCGCTTTACCACTGAGCCACCTTCCCAGCCCCAGGGTTCATTCTTGTGGCTCGTACATTCTATGCATTTTTAAAAATGCAGGATACAAGGTATCCACCTAGTATCATTATGGGGGGGATACTGTCCCCCTAAGTTTCCACATTTCATCTCTCCATCCCCCCATTTCTCCCAACACTGGGAACCACTGCTCTCTTCTGTTTTACTTTTTCCACAATGTTGCAGGTTGGCCTCATACAGGATGGAGCCTCTTCAGATGGGCTTGTCATCTAGTAGCCTACATTTGCATTTCCTTGTGTTTTCCTGTTGTACTCACTCATTTTTGTTTGTGGCCAGTACTGGGGTTTGCTCAAGGCCTCACCCTTGGTCAGCTTTCTTACTTTCCTGTCAGAGTTGATTTGCAATCCTCAGAGCTGTCTCCTATGTGGCTAGGATTACAGGCATGAGCCACCAGGACCTGGCCACCAGCCCATTTCTTTTTGCAATAATAATATTCCATTACCTTGATACCCCGCCATCCATCTCATCATCTGCTGAAGGACATCTTGGTGGCTTCCAGGTTTGGGCAATTAGGGAGAAAGCTGCTGAAAATGCTTGTGTGCAGGATTTTATGTGCACATAAAATTTCAAATCATTTGGATAAATACCAAAGAGCATACTCCTGGACTGTAAGGAAGAATATGTCTACTTTTCTAAGAAACCATCAAACTGTCTTCCAAACATGGCTAAGCCATCTTTCATTCTCCCTGGATGGATTTTCCTTTTACTCCACATCCGTCGGGTACGCTTTTTTTTTTTTTTTCTAGCACACGGCATTAAAAAAAAATTTTTTTTGTTGGTCATGGGATTTGAACTCAGGGCCTGGGCACTGTCTCTGAGATCTTCTCCTCAAGGCTAGTGCTCTACCAACTGAGCCACAGCGCCACTCCTGGTTTTCTGGTGTTCACTGCAGATGAGTCTCACAGCCCTTCTTGCCTGAGCTGGCTTGGAACCGCAGTCCTCAGATCTCAGCCTCCTGAGTAGCTAGGATTACAGGCTTGAGCCACCAGCTCCTGGCCTATTGTTATTGTTTTATAATTATTACAATATGGGGGGTTCTCATGTTACTAGGCTAGCACCCTACCACTTGAACTACAGCTCTATTTTTGGCTCTTAGATGCCTTATTCAAGTCTCATGAACTTGCTTGCTCAAGCTGTCTTTGAACTGAGATCCTAAGATCTCAGCCTCTTGAGTAGCTAGAATTTCAGGCATGAGCCGCTAGTGCCTGACTCTTCTCTGACTCAGAGGAGAAGAGGACCAGGTGAGGAGAAATGGCAGCATGGAGGAGGCGCAAGCTGCCTATTGCAGGATCACAGAAATCCCACAATGCCCTCTACTCAGCATCCGGTGAGAACACTGATATGCCTGTTTTCTTAGGAACATAAATCTTCTTTGTTCAGGAGGGGCCACGTTGCCCATGAACATTGCTAACACAGGAATTTTGGTACTTGGAAGGTCCAATAAATACCTATTGCATAAATATAATTACTTTGGGACTTTTAACTAGCTTGGGTGGTACGTGGAGGGGTGTTAGTTTCTAGATAATTCTTTAAAATTAAGAAAAAGCAAACACAAAGCAAACTGTGGCAAGAAGGACCAAAAAGAACCTATTTCTTTGTTAAGACATTTATTTTGGCTACAATTTGAGTGTTTTAACACATTTATTGGTGATGCAACAGGCATAAAACTTGCCTTTTTTTTTTTTTTTTGCAGTGCTGGGGATGGAACCCAGGGCCTCACACATATTTGGCCCGAGCTATAACCCATCAGAGCCCAATTTAAATGTTTTCACAAATCCCCCTCAAGGCTGGCAGTTGGTAATCAGGAACAAAGGTTACGCTTCCAACCAGTCTTCTCTCGCACCCTGAGACATCTCTGTTTTCAATCCGGAGAGAATCCTCATTGGCTTCTTCAATGATTCCTGACACCAGTTTTATGACAAAGAAAATTTTCCTGCAAGGAAAGCTCCTACTACCTTCATATTTAAGATCAGTGCTTATCTGATTAAAACATGAGCCTCTTAGCATCTATTCACATTTCAAGAACAGAGCAGCAAAGGCCCTGACATTCCCTTTCCCAAGTGTGAGCCATTGTCACCACGATGATCGCAGCGCCACCTTCTGGCATGGCTATGCATGCCCTCTAATTTCTCACAGGTGTTAAATTCCAAAGAAGGGATTCTGGGAGACCTTGGAAGTCTTTTAGAAGAATCCCTTGTGTGATGGAGGTGGTGGCTTATACTCTCAAGATAACTCAGAGTGACAGGGAAACAAGCCTAACTTATGGGAAGGTAGATTGCTTGGAGACTAAAGGGGGGGGGAACCTGACATTCTTAACTTGTGCTGGATGGGGGTGGGGGTGGGGTCTCTTACAGTCCAAGAAAGGGATCCTGTCTAAGGAGGGGAGAAGGGTACCCTGAGTTCCTAGTCCACCCCTTCCCAGGGGTCTAAGGCCGATCAAGAAAGGCCCCCACTCACAGCTGAGTGTGTGGTACCTCTTAAAATTGACTCATGTTTTGATTAAGAGAGAAGCTAAACCTGGGGTTCTAGGGATTAAAGGTGATCAAAAAAAAACCCTAAATTCTAAGCAAAGGACTCCAAGCTGGGCACAGTGGCTCCTGCCTGTAATCCTAGCTACTCAGGAGACTGAGATCTGAAGATCATGTTTCAAAGCCAGCCTTGGCACAAAAATCCATGAGATTCTCATCTCCAATTAACCAGCAAAAAGCCAATAGTGGAGCTGTGGCATGAATGGTAGCACACCAGCCTTGAGCTAAAAAGCCAAGCAAGAGCACAAGGTCCTGAGTTCACATCCCAGTACTGGCACACACACACACACACACACACACAAAAGGCAAAATAATCCCAGAGGAAAAGCAATGACCCTACCAATAGCCCTTTTTCCTTATGTCCAACAGAGGCCTTCAAGAGGCCATGTTCACCGCCCAAGTGGTTGTGGCCGTCTTATGGGCTGCCTTAGGGCTGCTTCCTGTGACTGGATGAAGAACTGCACACTCTAACCCACTGGGGATGGTGCTTTTCCCTTCCTTCTCCAGGGTGAGGGCAGGGATGAGCCACATGCCTGGAGTTCCCCCCAGGGAACTTGTTTGAGAGGCTTGAAATTTTGCCCTATTCTACCTTAAAAAGCCAGGCAACTCTGGGGTACACCCTTCATCATCCTGTATACCAGGTCTTTTGGATGGGGGTGGGGGAGCTAACATTACAGGAACAGATTCTGTCAATTTCTGATTCACTGTGAGCATCAGGTTAAGTCAGATGGGAACAGAAGCCAGCCCACTGCTAAGCAGATGCCCCCTGCACTCCTGCAAGCCAACCTAGACAGCTCAGTAGCCAGAAAAGATGGCAGATCCTAGCTATTCAGGACAGCTATGGTCACAGAGGGAAATGGGGACAGTGACTGTCACCTTGCTCCTAGTAGAGAGCTTTATATCTGGGAGTAAGGCCTTAAGGGGCTCTTGCCTCTCCGCCTCTTAACCAAGATGCTCCCAGGCAGCTTGGAAAAACACATTCCCCACTTGATGTGCTAACACAATTTTAAATGGAAAGCTAAATTTTAAATAGGCAACAACAACAACAAAAAATCCCTAATATGTCTTTGACTTCTCTTGCAAAGTCTTCTCTTGCAAAGATGTGCAAGGGATTCCACGTGAATTCAGCTGGGACACACCTTCTGGAATAACACTCCAACATTTGACACTTCCATACAGAAGGGAATTGCATCCACTTTGATGAGACACCCATACACCAGGTGCTGAGGTGTGGCCCACTCTGCCATCCTGAGTGACCCTGAAGATATACACAGCATCTCGGCCTTTTCTTTCAAACAAGAACAGATTGCTCCAATAAGACTGTTCAAAATAACACTATCTTCTGACAAATGTGCACGCGTGTGAAGGCTGACCCATTCAAACATCATCCTGAAAACTCCCTAATTGGATGTTTGGGGGTTTTTTGTTTTGTTTTGTCGGTTGTGGGGCTTGAACTCTAGGCCTGGGCGCTGGTCCCTCAGCTCTTCAGCTCAAGGCTAGTGCTCTACCACTGGAGCCACAGTGCCACTTCTGGTTTTCTGGTGGTTTATTGGAGGTAAGTCTCACAGGCTTTCCTGCCTGGGCTGGCTTTGAACTGAGATCCTCAGATTTCAGCCTCCTGAGTAGCTAGGATTACAGGCGTGAGCCACCAGTGCCCGGCTGGGATCTTTTTTTGTTTTGGTTTGTTGACTCTGCCATGAATGAAGGCCTCATCTGTCTCCAGTACTGCCAGCAGAGAGCTATTAGAGCCACCTATAGGTAGGACCCTTCATTTCCCTGCCAGCACCCCAGGCTATATGAAAGAGGCACCCCTACCCCCATACACATACATGCTGTAATTGGCCAGCTTCTGCTTTCTGTTCTTGGAATAGCAACCTGGACAGAAAGCCATTAGCTTGAGTGTCTTGGGCTTGGCCAACACTACAATTCAAGACAAAACCCTTGTAATTTCTCCAAACAATGGGGTTGGTTTTTGGATTTTTCTTTTTAATAGGCTGGACCTCAATATGCCCTGAGACCTCATTCTTCTAAGAAGTAAAGGAATAGATCGGGTCCCAGGGGGAAAAAAATTCCCCAAGAGCAGATTGAGAAATCAAGCTTCCTAGGGAGAAGTTGGGGAGGTGGGGAGGGAAGGGATGGTAGGGGGAAAACAAAGGAGGGGATAACAATGCTGGACAGGAAATGTACTCATTACCTTACTCATGTAACTGTAACCCCTCTGTACAATATCTTTACAATTAAAAATATAGATTTAAAAAAAAAGAAATCAAGCTTCCAAAAGCCACATTTTGAAAATTCTAGATGGAGCTGAGTCCTCTGGGAAAGTCTGTCTACCCCAGGGGGCCTCTTGGTGGAGTAGATATTTCTCATTAGGGAAAGCATTCAAAGACAGACTCTTCATGAGAATTTCCATCTCCTCACTGGAGTCCAGAGCAGGGAGTGGAAAGCGAGGAGACCAGGTGATAGGTGACAGGTAACCATCTGACCTTTACTAGGCTCAAGGTGATAAGGTCTCCATAGTTGGGGAGTGAGGGAGGGTCCTAAGGACCCCTCTGAAACACATCATGCCTTAAATACTCCCTCAACCCTCTGTTCTGGGCCATCAAGAGGACTGCACACTGCAGGCCTCCCTGGGTGACCCTTCACCACCTCAGGGACAAGACATCAATGAGAAGAACAGGACAAGAAGGGAACAAGAATGCCCTCCTCAGCAAGCTTTTTTATGTGCTCCCCAGGGGGGAAGTGGCCCTGGGCTGTGTTGGGATAGACGAGTGCTGTGTGACTCTGGGGGTGGGGGACACTGTGATTCTTAAACATGGTGGCTTGGGACAGCCTCGGCCAGGGCCTCCCCATGTCAGACCTCCAGAAAAGAGGCCATGAGGGCACCCTACAGTTTCAACTTCCCCTCCCTGATGAGTCTGCCATTGAGGTGGCAGAGCTGGGCCAGGAAGCCGTCGTTGGGGCCGATCTCACGGTTCTGCCTCACAATGCTCACAGCAGACCTGACGTCCATCTTCTGGCGCATCATCAGGTATGCGATGACTAGAGTTGGGGAGCGGCTGTAACCCTCTCGGCAGTGGACAAGCACCCGGCCTATAAGAAATGGGAAGATACAGTGAGCTAGGGCACACGATCATTCCATGATGCATGTCAAAACTCATCCACAAGCCAGGCACAGAAGTTCATGCCTATAAACCTAGTTACTCAGGAGTCCAAGAACAGCTTGAAGCCAGCCTGGGTAGATAAGCACACAAGTCCACCATGCTTCCAGGCAAAGCTCCTACACCACACCCTCCAACAGCCTCCCTCAACCACCTAAGCAGCACCCAGAAATTGCTCAGGCCCCTCTGAATGGATACTACCAAGTCATTACCAAGATGGAGAGCAAAACCTACCCCTGTCATAGCCTCTTGTCCCCTATGTTCTCTAGCCACAGGGTGAGGGGTTGGGTACAGGTGTGGGAGGGCAGGGAGCTGGGAGGAGGGGGAGGTCATAGTGACCTTGAAGGACCACTAAAAAGCCTGTTAGTGGGGTTTGCTGTTTCCCTAGTCCATAAAACTTCTCTCCTGCCGGGCGTAGGAGGCTCACACCTATAATCCTAGCTACTCAGGAGGCTGAGCTCTGAGGATCATGGTTCAAAGACAGTCCAACCAAGGAAGCCTGTGAGACTCATCTCCAATAAACAACCAGAAAACTGGAAGTGGCACTGTGGCTCAGGTGGCAGAACACTCGCCTGGTAGCATACACCTGTAATCCTAGCTATTCAGGAGGCTGAGATCTGAGGATCACAGTAGAAGCCAGCCTGGGAAGAAAGTCCCTGTGAGACTCTCATCTCCAATAAACTACTCAGAAAAAGCCAGAAATGGTGCTGTGGCTCAAGTGGTAGAGTGCTAGCCTTGAGCACAAAGAGGCTCAGGGACAGCACCTAGGGCTTGAGTTCAAGGCCCAGGACTGTCAAAAAAAAAAAAAATGGCCAGGAGCTGGCTGCTCATATCTGCAATCCTAGCTACTCAGGAAGCTGAGATCTGAGTATTATGGTTCAAAGCCAGCCAGGGCAGGAAAATATGTGGGACTCTTACCTCCAGTGAACTTCCAAAAAGTCAGAAATGGAGCTGTGGCTCAAGTAGTAGAGAGCTGGCAAGCCTTGAGTAAAAAAGCTCAGGGAGCTGGGCGCTGGTGGCTCACGCCTGTAATCCTAGCTACTCAGGAGGCTGAGATCTGAGGATCACGGTTCAAAGCCAGCCCGGGCAGGAGAGACCGTGAGACTCCTATCTCCAAAAAAAACACCAGAAAACCGGAAGTGGCTCTGTAGCTCAAGTGGTAGAGCGCTCGCCTTGAGCTGAAGAGCTGAGGGACAGCGCCCAGGCCCAGAGTTCAAGCCCCACAACCGAAAAAAAAAAAAAAAAAAAAAGCTCAGGGACAGGGCCCAGGCCCTGAGTTCAAGCCCCAGCATTGGCACACATACAACAAAATAGTGGAACCAGTTAAAAGATGTTTAAGATGGAGAAGGAGGTAAGGGAAAGTGATGGGGATGAGACTGACTGGAATACATTTGTATATATGTGCGAATGTCACAAGGAAACTCTCTTTTTTTTTTTTTTTGGGTCCGGTTGTGGGGCCTGAACTCTGGGCCTGGGCACTGTCCCTCAGCTCTTCAGCTCAAGGCTAGGGCTCTACCACTTGAGCGCCACTTCCAGCTTTTTTCTTTTTGCTTATGTGGTGCTGAGGAATCGAACTCAGGGCCTCAGGCATGCAAGGCAAGTGCTCTACCACTGAGCCACCTTCCCAGCCCACAAGGAAACTCTCTTTGTACAGTAAAGTATGCTAGTGAAGAAAAATTAAATGAACATGCAATTCAAAAAAGAAAAACGAAAACCTTCTAGAGCAGGGCACTGGAGCTCACATCTGTAGTCCTAATTAGTCAGGAGACTAAGACTTGGAAGATCACAGTGCAAAGCCAGACTGGACAGAAAAGCCTGTGAAACTTCAGCCCCCAAAATAACCAGTAAAAAGCCAGGTTCGAGGCATGGCTCGAATGGCAGAGCACCCAGCCCAGCAAGTTCAAGGCCCTGAGTTTAAGCACCAATATGAGCAAAACATAAAGCAAAACTTCTCTTCCGAGCCTGAAACCTGTGCTGGGTACCTAGTAGACTAGGAAACTGTTTACTAAGTTTTCTTTGGACAAAGGGAGGCCGCTGGGGCCTGTGGACTAGGACAGCCCAGGTCAAAGCTGCCACGCATGATTTCCTGGGTGACAGGTCCCTTACCGTTCTTGTGAGCCAAGGCCTGGTCAATAAAGTCTGCAGCCCTTTCAAAGTATGCACTTAGGTTGAATTCCTGTGTGTCATTGGCCTTGATGCCCAGGTAGGTGATGCCGGAGTCCTTGTAAAAGTTGGCATTGGTGTTGACGTGCATGAAGGATCTGCCCTCGGCAGCATTTAGGACATGGGTGATGCCCAGTTTTTGCAGCTTGGGGATGTCCTGAGCCACAGTCCTGGACAGGAGAGAACAGTAGGGGGTGGTGAATTGACACACTGCAGCCCCTTGACTGAAGATGGACACAGACTCTTGACAAAGCAAAGGGACTTTCTATGCACCGGCTCCTGCGGGCTTCTCCCACTCCTCTTATGACCTCTCCCCTCTTCCAGCCATCTCCAATTACAGCAGCTTCCCCAAATAGACTGGCACTTTCATGCCCATGCTGTGCCTTATGCCACCCTGTGCCACCTTTTCTACAGACAGGCAATTTCTCATCTTTCACCACTCTCGGCAGTATATTCTTGTTTGCTCCTCGTGGCTTCATGCTCCTCTGGAAGAGGAACCCTACTGCATTGCTGGTGGGAATGTGTACTAATACAACCACTTTGGAAAGCAGTCTGAAGGTACCTCAGAAAGCTAACTATAGACCTCCCCTATGACCCAGCCATACCACTCCTAGCATCTATCCTGAACAACAGAAACCAGGATACAAGGACACATGCATCTCCATGTTTATTGCAGCACTGTTCACAATAGTCAGGATATGGAAACAACCCAGATGCCCCACTACAGATGAGTAGATCCAAAAATTGTGATACCTAGATACAATGGAATATTACACAGCCATTAGAAAGGACAAAATAATGACATTTGCAGGGAAATGGATGGAACTAGAGCAAATCATTTTGAGCAAGGTAAGCCAAGAGCAAAGAGGCAAATGGCACATGGTCTCCCTGATATGTGGATGCTAAAGCTAAAATGCAAGGAGATATGATAGAGTAAACAGGACTCAAGAAACAAAAGACTGCCACTCATTTTGTCATATCATTGCTAAATGACTCCAGGTTCTTGATCACATATATGGTGTGTGTGTGTGTGTGTGTGTGTGTGTGTGTGTGTGTGTGTGTGTGTGTGTGTGTGTGTGTGTGTGTATATATATATATATATGCACGCAATGGAGGGAAGCTAGGAGGAGGACACAGAATCAGTGGGAAATGGGAAAACATACAACAGAGGGGCCCATCAGCTGCACTGGACATAGATGAAAATGAACTAAACAACCCAAAGACAGCAATGGGAAGAGAGGAATGAGAGGAAAAGAAGGAACAGCTTACAGCAAAAGGAAAGACATGTAAATATTGCCTGATGTGGAAGAAATAATTGTATTGTCAAAGCTCATAGAATTCACAAACTTTATAGACCATGATAATGACAATTTACCTTGTGAAGGTTAAACTGTGTTTGTGACTTTAACTAAGTATCACTATTCCATAATACTGTGAAATATGTGAAATTTATGTAATCACCTAATCTCAATTTAAAAAAAAGAAGAAGAAAAGTGAGAGAAGGGTGAGTTGGGAGTGATGGGTGACAGTGTTATCAGACACTTTGTATTTATATACTGTTTTGTAGAATGGGAACTTCTTTGTACAACTACTTAAAGATAATAAAAAAAATTTTAAAAAACAGTGAAATAAATCCCAACTTTGTATAATCGATTTTTAGGATTAAAAACAATGAATATAAAATATACTCTGTAGGGGCTGGGAAGGTGGCTCAGTGGTAGAGCACTTGCCTTGCATGCCTGAGGCCCTGGGTTCAATTCCTCAGCACCACATAAGCAAAAAGAAAAAAGCTGGAAGTGGTGGTGTGGCTCAAGTGGTAGAGTGCTAGCCTTGAGCTGAAATGCTGAGGGACAGCACCCAGGCCCAGAGTTCAGGCCCCATGACTGGACCCTAAATAAATAAATAAATAAAATATACTCTGTAGACATTCATATATGTACAATAAAATTGTATATTAAAAAGGGGGAGCTCTGGAGCCAGGCAGCAGTGGCTCACTCCAGTAATCCTAGCTAACTCAGGAGGCTGAGATATGAAGATCTTGATTCAAAGCTAACCCAGGAAGGAAAGTCCATGAGACTTATCTCTTATCTCCAATCAACCATCAAAAAGCCAGAAGTAAACTTGTGGCTCAAGTGGTAGAGCATCAGCCTTAAGTGAAAAAGCTAAAGGATGGTGCTGGGGCCCTGAGTTCAAGCCCAAAAGAGTAAATGAATGAGTAGGCTCTGGTATGCAATGGCCACAAAGGAATATATAGATCAATGGGATGGAATAGGAGGTCTAGAAACATGCCTCCACAGCTACAGACATGCGATTTTTTTACCAAGAAACCAAAACTCTGCATTAGAGAAAAAGAAGCTTCTTCACCATTGCTGCTGGGAAACTGGTTATCCACATGAAAGGTCTAAAATGGATCTCTATCTCACCATGTGTAAAAATCAATTCAAAACGATCAAAGACTTTAATGTAAGACCTGAAACATTAAAACTATTGTAGGAGAATTCAGCACAAACACTCAAGAGATCTAAGCCTAGGCAAGGACTCTGAACAGGACTCCAATTGTTCAGGAAGAACAAGAATTGACAATGGGATGGCATCAGATTAAAAAAGCTTTCTGCAGCTGAGGCAATGGTGGCTCTCGCCTGTAATCCTTGCAACTCAGGAGGCTGAGATCTGGGATGATGGTTCAAAGCCAGCGTGGGCAGGAAAGACCTCCTGAGACTCTTTTTTTCTTTTTTCTTTCTTTTTTTGGTTGTTCATGGGGCTTGAACTCTGGGCTTGGGTGCTGTCCCTCAACTCTTCAGCTCAAGGCTAGAGCTCTACTACTTGAGCCACAGTGCCACTTCCGGTTTCCTGCGTGGTTTATTGGAGATAAGAGTCTCACGAACTTTCCAGCCCAGGCTGGCTTTGAGCTGCAATCCTCAGATCTCAGCCTCCAGTGTAGCTAGGATTACAGGCATGAGCAATCAGCACCTAGCCCCCCTGAGACTCTTATCTCCATTTAACCACTAGAAAACTAGAAGTAGCGCTATGGCTCAAGGTGGTAGAGCACTAGCCTTGAGCAAAAGAGCTCAGAAACAGGGCCCATGCCCTGAGTTCAAGCCCTTTGACCAACAACAACATCAAAGAGCTTTCTGCATGTCAAAGGAAATAATTATCAGGGAAAAGAGACAACCTACAGAATGGAAGAAAATCTTTGCCTGGTATACATTGAACAGGGATTCATATCTAGAATATATAAAGAACTCAAGAAATTAAACACTAAAAGAACAAATAATCCAATTAATGAATAGGCAAATGAAGTAAGAAATGTTCGCAGAAAAAGTACCAATTTAACAGGCCAACAGCATGAATTTGCACAAGTGCTGGCTGGGATGTGGGGGAAAGGAACCTATTGCACTATTGGTGGGACTGTACATTTAGTATAATCACTTGGGACAGTGGTCTGGGACATAGAATTTCCTACAAACCAGCCTTACCACTCCTGGACTTCTACCCAGAATATCACAAGCCAGAATACTATACAGATAATTGCACATCCATGTTCATTGTTTCACTATAATAGATGAGTGGGTCAAAAAAATGTGATACTTATGCACAGTTGAATTTTACCCATCCATTAGAAAGAATATTAAAGCCGGAAGCTCACACCCTGTAATCCTAGCTACTCAGGAGGCTGAGATCTGAGACTGTGATTTGAAGCTAGCCCGAGCAGAAAAGTCCCCTTAAGACTCTTATTTCCAATTAGCCACTCAAAAAAACTGGAAATAGAGCTGTGGTTCAAAGTGGTAAAGCATTAGCCTTGAGCAAAAAAGCTCAGGGACAGCACCTAGACCCTGAGTTCAAGCCCTATGACTGGGGGGGAGGGGAGAGAGAGAGAGAGAGAGAGAGAGAAATGTACCCATCACCTGACTTATGAAACAGTAACATCTGTACAACATCTTAGTACCAATACAAATAAGTAAATATTTTTTCAAAGAAGTACTAATAGCCAATAAATACATAAGGAAAGTCTCAACATCTTTAACCATAAAGGAAGTAGAAATTAAAGCAACATTGGGATTATTCCATTTCACCCCAGTCAGAATGGGGAGCACATGAAGAAACCAGACAAAAAAGATGCCAGTGAGGATGCAGGAAAAACAAACCCTTTACACTGTTGATGGGAATGTAAATTAGCATAGCCACTATGGAGATTCCTTACAAACGAAAAATAGAATTACCACGTGATTCTGCTGTACTATTCCTGGACATGCATCCAATGGAACACAAGTCAGTGTACAATAGCTGCACCTGTGCATCCATGTTCATGCAGTAGCCAGCACAGCAGCCAAGCTATGGAATCAGCTCAGGTGCTCAACAAAAGAGGAATGAGTAGTGACAATGTGGTCTATATACACAATGGGGTACCACTCAGCCATACAGAAGAATGACATTATGTATGTCACCTATAGGAAAACTGGATGGAGCTGGAGACCACCATGTTAAATAAAGCAGATGGAGAGAGACAAATATCATTATCCTTTTATATGCAGAATCTACACATGACTGCCAAAGGGAGACAGTGTGGGGGTGGGGAAAGCAAGAGGCAAGAATTTGAGGGGGTGAACATGATTGAAATACTTTACATTCATATGTGAAAATAGAGTAATAAAACCCTGAAAAAATAGTTTTAAAAGTGGGGGGGGGAGTGGGAACAGGAAAAAAAGTAATAGAAGGGACAAATTCGATCAAGGCACATTATATGCATAAATGTCCATAACACAATGAAATTCATTTGAATAACTAATATATGCCAATATAAATGGGGGTTGTAGAGAGCCAAATGTGGCAGTGTATGCCTGTAATCCTAGTACAGGGAGGCTAAGGCAGGAGTAACGAGTTCTAGGACACCTTAGACTTGTCAGTGAGTTAGAGAGCAGCCTGAGGTACATAATGAAGACTGTGCCTGACAAACCCAAACAAAACTAATCGGGCTCTGGAGCCTGGTTTCTGAATCTAGCCCTAAAATTACCAGCTAGGAAACCTTGAGCAGACCACTTAACCTTTCTGGCAAAAATGGGAGTGATCACAGGGCCACTGCCTGGGTGGTTTTTAGTGTCAGAGGAGCCTTCTGTGCCCAGAACCTGACTCTGCAGTAAGCACTACTATTCCAACCAACTTGGCCTATGCTTGTTTGTTCAGAAGCCCAGGCTCTGAGAAACTTGAGAGAAGAACCATATCTACTTCTGATCTTTCTCTCCAGCACCTACTATGGACTCTGGAACAAAGTAGGTGTTCAGTAAACAAGTGGTAGCTTAGTGTGGAAGAATAAAGTCATAACATGCCAGGCCCCTTGGAGGATCTGTTCTGCCATGTTCCATCACCCACAATTCTGAGGCTAAGCACTTTGGAATGAGTGGCCCCAAAGAACCATGGTAGTTATAAAGTATCTGATCTCTTTTCTTTCATCTTACAGCAACAACCCAATTCAAACAGCAGTCAAAGTGGTCCTTGTGTGTGATCCAGGGGTGAGCTGGGCAAAGATCCTGCTCTTGATGTCCAGCCCAGCTCTGTCTTCCTCCTCCCTCTGCCTCTCTCACTCACATCAACTGCAAAGCCTGGAGACCCAGAAACCACTGCTTATGCAAGTCCCGCCTCTGCTCTGGGATGTGGGTGGAGCCTTGATTTTATTCAGTCTTTGCCCCAGCACTCAGTTGGCTAAGTCAAGGTCAGATTTTCATAGAGGGCATGGGATGTGGCTTTCATGATGGCCATCACACTTGCCACTTGAGCTACCACCACACACGTATAACCTTGGTTCCTACTTGGGAAGCAACAATAGCTGAATTCACCAAACTGCCTTGGCAAGCAGGTTTGAGGCCAGCAAGCCCACGTACTGCTTGGATAGGTTGTGGGTGGAAAGTTGCCTAGGATTTTGCAGTTTAGTGGATCTCTCAATGACACCGTAAGACTTTGTGGCCATCCATGCTCAGGACACTACATAGGATTGCAATAAGCAGTTGCTGGTAAAACACAGAAGGGTCTCCACACACACACACACACCCTTTCTTGCCTTCTCAGATTCAACAAATTTACATCCTCGTTATTAGTACCATTGTCATGGATGAACACTGTAGTATCTGACACATAATAGGTGCTCAGTATGGTGAGTGATGGATGAGACCTAGCTGAGCTCTGCCTTATAAACCACCTTTAACTGCACATCACCCCATTTCATAGGCAGTCATTGTCAGGCTTAAGCAGCAAGTCCTAAGTGTAAGGCAAGAGATACACACATGAACAGGACATAAACCCTGTCTCACAATCACCTGCTCTGGGTTCGCACCCTGTGCAGAATGAGAGGAGGAGATGCCAGTGTTTGACTTGTAGTCCCTGGGCTCAGCCCAAGGAGCTCCCGGCTTTGATAAGCAGGTCCTTAGAGCCCACCTGGCTCTCAGGCCACCCTAAGCTAGACATTCTTTTGGCTGCTATTTGAGCATTTCTCAGAATGTTTAACGCCAGTTCCTTCTGCTGCTGGGAAAAATCTTACTATTGTAATTTGAATTACAGAAAGCCGAGAAAAAAAACCAAGGTGTTCAGAATTCCTAAGTGACAAAAAGTGCACTTCCTGATAGCCAGCCTTTCCCAGGTGATGGCTCAGGCCCCTCATGAAGTTTGTCATTTTGATTTCTCCCATTTAAGTCTCAACCCTATCTGGAGATAGGAGAAAGGGCCATAGGAGACCCCAGGCCCAGCTTCTAGTCTGAGGCTGAAGACCACAGGGCCAAGGGAAAGTTCCCCCGCCCGGATTGTGACGTCAGCCCGTTGCCATGGCAGCGAAGGCAGACATTCCGCGGTGACCTCACTGCGGAGCCAGGCAGCTGTCACATGATGCGCGGGCCGGCGATTGAGGGCCACCTGTTCTAAGTGAACATGGTAGCCGTGACCCCGCCCAAAGCCGAGCCCCAAGCGGGCGGTGGCTGAAACCAGACGGGGTACCCCTCGGTCTCCCGGTACTCCGCAACCAGGAAGGATAGCGGGGCCCAGCTCGGATCCAGCCTCGGGGCTCCACGCGCGGGAGTGGGCGTCGACTCCAGCGCCATCCCCAGTCCCCGTTCTTTGCTCTCGGAGGGCCAGTCGCACCCAGATTCCTCCAGACTCACGCCCCGAGATACCCCCAGCCCCAGCCCCCGGTGGGCGGGACGCCGGTCCGCTTGGGAGACTCACGCATTGCCCACGTAGATCCTCGGGGTGACTTCGTTGCAGGGCTGGCTCGGGAGGCTGTAACACCCAGTGCCATCCGAGAGCAAGTCGTTGAGATCTTGCACCGAGAGGTCGAAAGGGCCCGACATGGCGGCGGCGGCGGCGGGGGCCCGGCACGCCCGGCCAAGAGCGAGCAAGGCGAGGCGAGAGCCGCCGGGTCAGCTGGGCGGGGCTAGCGAGTCGGGAGCCGCTCCGCCCCG